AAGTGTTGAGTTTAACTTCCAGCACCAAAAACATTACCACCACCACCAACAACAAATCTCTAGGGCAAACTTACTCACCACAGATAACTCATATATTTAAAAAATTATACATAGGAAGACATACAGTTTCTTCTGGTTCTAATTAAAAGACTTGAAAATAACCATACTTTATTCTTGCAATTATAATGGCAATGAGATAACTGTTTTGCCATGTATATATGTCAAGCACTTGGGTTTTTCCTGCTAATCAAATATCCTTCAGTTAACATACATGGTTCCACATGTTATGACAAGAATAAATCTCATCCCCAGAACCAGAGAGAAAGAAAGAAAGAAAGAAAGAAAGAAAGAAAGAAAGAAAGAAAGAAAGAAAGAAAGAAAAGAGTGTAGCTCAGTGGTATCGCTTTTGCCTAATGTATGCAGGGCCCTGGATTCAATTCACAGCACAACAAAAAAGAAAAACAAAAAATCCTAAACTGCTTGGTTGTGCACACTGTAGCTCCAGCTATTCAGGAGGCTGAGGCAGGAGGATCACAAATTTGAGGCCAGCCTGGGCAATTTAGGGAGACCTTGTCTCAAAATAAAAAATAAAAGGCTGAGGCTATGGCTCAGTGGTACTGCAATACTGTGTTTCAGTCCTCAGTATGGGGCATGGGTCTCCTGGTCCATATCTAAAGAAGTATTTATGAAAAGAGAAGATGGAATTGGGGAGGAAATCATCCACTGAGGTAGCACTGGAAATGTGAATGCGGGCAAAGGGAAAGTTGCCAGATACTCAGAATCAATAATTGGAGGTGGGATCATGGTACCTCTTGAGGCAGCTGATTGGCTGATTGTGAAAAATGAAGGTGTCAGTCTACCTCAGACCCGCGGCTCAGGGTTTCCCTTGGCGCTCCAAACCCACGTAGCTGAGGTGAAGCCCAATTAACTTGACCCCGGCCCCTAGCGTCCAGTCAAGGAGTCAAACAGGCATGGCTTTGACACACACTTCTTTCTTATTTCAACTTTTGGGCTCCAAGGTGGACTCAAACTATTGCTTCCCCAAACACAACATGGATGTTTGCCCGTGTTTGCTTTAGAGAAGCTGCCCCAGAGATGGGGATTTAGCTCAGCGGCACAGTTCCTGCCTCACAAATGCAAGGTCCTGAGTTCAATTCCTGATACCAAAAAGAAAAAAAAAAAAAAAAATCCTTAATAATAGAGAAACGGCCCAGGTCGGATTTAGAGACTCACTGTCTGAAAATATTTACTAAGATTTCAATGAAGATCAAGGAAGAAAAAAAAAATCAAGAGAGACATTGTTAAATACTCTGCATGCTCTGGAACAGATGTTACTAGCTCAGATAGAAACTAGAATGTTTGTAGTAACCAAAATCTATCAAATAAAAGTATAAAGAAATTTTATATTTTTAGGCCCAAACCTTCTCCTTGGAGGTATCAGAAAATGAGTTGGACACCTATTTATTTAAATTATTTATTTGGTCGATTACTGGGGCTTGAACCTTAGAGCCTTATGCACGCTAGGCAAGCACTCTACCACTGAGCCACATGCCACACCCGAAATCCTATTAAAATTTTTAAATCTGAAAAATAACTCAATTTAGATTTTTTTCTCTTGGGGGGGCAGAGGGCCACAGTAACTTGGCTTAAGAGCTGAGTCACAGGCCTAGGCACTCACCTCCACCTACCTACTCACCTTTGCGTCTTTGTAAGGCAAATGAATCAGACACACACACATGCACAAATAGTTTAAAATCATTTGCAAGAGTTTTTTTTTTTTTTTTTTTTTTGGTTTTTCTCTAGTACCAGAACCGAACTCACGACCTTGCGCTTGCCAGGCAGGCGCTTTTGCCGCTGAGCTAAATCCCCAGCCCCCAATAGTTTTTGATATCTAAGGAAATAATTCTCTCTGTTTTGGGCTGGCCGGGGTCTCTCTGATCCACAATTACAGTGACCCACCATAGTCCAAAAATACAGTCAGTTATTTTGAGAGGCCACTTTCATCTAACTTTTGTTACGGTATATTGTCATAATTGTTCTATTTTGTAATCGTGGTTAATCTCTTACTGTGCTTAATTTATAAATTAAACTTTACCAGAGGTGTGTATGCACAGGAAAACATATAGTACGTAAGTGTACTCATCTGGTTCAGTTCTGTCTAGGGTTTCAATCATACATGGACTGTCTTGGAACATTATTCCCCCAAGGATAAAGAAAAATTACAACAATCTATTTTCTCTGAGAAAATATCTCCATATATGCCATTGTCATAGGCCAAGCTATGATAGCAGAGTAACTTTCAAAATATTTATCAGTGTGTCTTCTTTAGACAACCTGAAGATAAACAAGCTTGGGAGCTTGTTAAAAATGCAGATGCTAGGGACCTTCTCCCAGACTTTTAGGGGTGGAGTCTCTCGTTGTTTGTGACAGCCCCAGGTGCTCCTAGTGCCCTTCAGAGTTTGCTAGTGATAATGCTCTGTTCCCTGGCAAATGGGACAAACATTCCTAAAGTGACTTCCCAAAGATCAGAAGAACAAAACAAAGGAAATCTTGTCTTACTGCTTGCCAGTATTTGGACTATAAAACAAAGAAGGAAGAAATAAGAAGGCCAAAGCATTTGTGATTAATAATTTTTGCTATCAGATGCATGACTAACACCTTTCCTCCTGGAAAGTCCTAAGTTCAGCGTTGTGTAGATACTGAGAAATCTAGATCTGGCTTACAGCTGCCTATAATTACCCTTTTTTTCTTCCTTCTAGCTAAAATGTATTCTTATTTATCTCTCTGCTTAGATTCTATCATGCAGCAGTGACAGTTTCCTAAAAATCATTTTAAAAACCTGACTTATCAGAAGATGTTAAGTAGAAAGGCAGATCAAAGAAAATTAGGTTGCCCTTGCTCTAATTTTGTAAATTAAGATATATAATGGGATACTTGAAGGAAGTACCCACAAACCATCACCAGGTTAGGGATCGCCTCTTCCCCCTTAGGGTACCTATAAAGTTATATTCAATTTTTAAATTTTAAAATGAAAATAAACATACACTTTAGCCAAGTATAGTGGTTCATGCCTATAATCCTAGCTACACAGAGGACTAAGACAGCAAGATCACAAGTTTGAGGTTCTATATTATATATACATAAATATATATAATCTGGGTATATAGCTCAGTGGCAGGGACATACACTTTTGAATGCTGGTTTCTCCATTAAAAAAATACCATCATTAGTATAATTTTAACTTATCAAAGACTTTAAAATCATGTATTAAGGAAAACATGATTTGAAATCCTAATATAATTAAATTTTCCATTCTTCACTAAGCTAGATCTCCAGCCGAAAGGCTACTTTTTAAAAGTTCAGTTGACATTTTTGTGCTTTATCCATTCTTGCATGTGAGACATTTTTATTGTGTCTAGTTTCATGTTATTGTGAGTAACATGGTAGATTTATCTCTCTATGAGGCTCTTTTCTGGGTGTGTCTGTGTGTGTGTGTGTGTGTGTGTGTGTATGTGCACATGTGTGTGTGAAGCACTGGGGGTCTGACCCAGGGTCTTGCACATGCTGGACAGGTGTTCTAACCCTCAGCCCTCTCACCCCGTCCTCCCCCTTATTTTTCCTTTTAAAAGATATTTATTTAGAGTAAATTCTCAGCAATGGTTATACTAACTCAAAAGTCATGAACATTTTTATGGGTCTTAATATGTAACATATTTCCTCCTTGCCCTTCAAAGATTACACCCATTTCGTGGGGCGTGGTGGCACACGCCTATGATTCCAGCTGCTCAGGAGGCTGAGACAGTGGGATTTCAAGTTCCAGGCACACCTGGGCAACTTAGTGGTATTCTGTCATCAAAATAAAATTTAAAAAAAACAACAGGGTTGTAGCTCAGTGCCTAGCTAGCATGTAGAAGGCCCTGGGTTCAGTCCTCAGTACCGCAAAAAGTTATACCAATCTTCATTACGACAGGCTATGGGAAAAAGAGCTGGACCCCTCAAGAGGCTGAGAAGTCGTGAGAGTTTTTTTTTTTTCATCCAGCATTTAACTTTCTTTTTGTTGCTTTAACATGTGCATTAGTGTTTTAATTTTGGTTTCTCCGTTATGATTAATAATTTCTAAATTATCAATATGCCAATCACTAGTATAAGGAGTTGATGTATATAAAATTATGGATTTTTACAACTTAAATATATACCCTCAGTGCATGCAAATATACAAACCTACCCTCTTTATTTTGTACATCATAAAGTAAATTTTTAAATTTCCAGACAAGGGCTGGGAAGTATAATTCAGTGGTAGAATATTTGCCTAGCATAGATAAGGCACTGGATTTGATCCCAACCTCCACAAAAATAAAACAAAACCTGAAAAAGTTCTATCTAGGCATGGCGATGCTGTAACCCCAGCACTTGGGAGGCTGAGGTAAGAGGATCAGTGCAAGTTTGAGGCCAGCCTGGGCTACGCAGTGAGACTCTGTCTCAAGAAACCCAAAAGAAAAAAAGAAAAGAAAAGAAAAAGAGAAGAGAAGGGAAGGGAAGGGAAGGGAAGGGAAGGGAAGGGAAGG